CGTTCTGTAGGAGATCAATCAGGGGATTAATATAGAAATTGAAGAGGGAGGGGGACAGGATGCATCCCTGCCATACCCCTTTTTAACCCTCACTGGGCCGGTTAAACTCCCTTGGGGATTGCACCTCACTTTCAAGGTGGAATTGGCATACAATTTTTGTATGAGGAAGAGGAGGCTTTTATCGATCGTGGTGCATTTTAATTTCTCCCAGAGGGTGATCCTGGATATTGAATCAAAGGCCTGCTTAAAATCAAGGAAGGCCACAAAAAGAGAAGTTTTTTTTTTATATGTGTATTTTTGTACTAAATGGTGGAGAAAATTTATCTTTGTATTTTATACTTTGATACACTCATAAAAATGTATTATTAAAAAAAGCACTGCACTGTGGCACTTGGTAGAGTAGGAATGAAAGCCCTGGATTCAGATGCTGGGATGTGTCTGTGCTAATAGCCCTCAATTTACGACCACATTGGCATTAGAATTTGCCCTATTAAGCAAAGCAGGATGTCACATAACCACATTCACAATCCTGGCACTTCCCATTACAACACTCTATGAACATGGAAACTGGACTTTGAAGAAGAGGGACAGAAACAATATTGACGGTTTGGAACTTTGGAACTGCAGAAAATTCCTGAGAATACAATGAACAACCAAGAAAACAAAACAGATTGAACAAATCAATGTGGAGTTTCCAATTGAGGTGCAAATGTTAATGCTCAAGTTACAGGAAGTCCTCAAATTACAAACATTGAAGTTACAGTGGCACTGAAAAAAGTGACTTATGAACAATCCTTGCACCTATGACCATTGCATCGTTCCTAAAAGCATATTATCAAAATTCAGGCATTTGGAAGCCAGCATCTATTTATGATGGTTGCAGTGTCCTGGGTCACATGTTGACCATTTGCAACCTTCCCAATTGGCTTCTGAGAAGCAAAGTGGGGGAAGAAGGATTTTTTTAATGACATGTGATTTGCTTAAACCAAAATCAGTGGGACGCACGTGACCATTGTCTTGCCTAGCAGTGGAAATTCTAGTCCAAATTGTGGTTGTAGGTCAAGGACTTATTTGTATCATATTTTGAACACATTATGTTAAAATTGAGCTCTCTGGAGAATCAAAATATGTTCCTCTACACCTCCACAGTAAGATGGGACAGATGGAAAAAGATAGTAGACCTGACATTGTTAGCAGAACTGCTGTAGAGCAGCATATAGACTGTACAAGGAAAGACTGAGGACAGATGGGAACAAAGCTGTTCTTCATCAGAGGGGCTTCTGAAGTCATATATGGAAGCATAAAAATAGGGAATAGGCTCCATAAGAAGCATGTAGTAAAGCAAAACCAAACAACAGAAACAAAACTAATGAACAATGAATGAATGTGTATGCAGAAAGAAGTATGCTGAATGATTTCATCATACAGATAAAAACAAATGAGTAGAATACAAAACCAATAAACAAATGACTAAGCAGATGAGAGAAAGGGAAAGGCAGAGACCGTGGCTTTTGTCAGAGGTAATGTACTCTCTCAAAAAGAGGGAGGCGAGAAGTTAAATCATTGGTGTACTAATGTGTTGGTGGCAAGAATGGCTTTCAAAGACAGAAAATCACAGAGATGTAATAAATGGTGTGGGGAAAAACTTGCTGCATGTCCTTTTCTCCGGTCTCCAGCCTTTGTTTTGCTTTTTTCTATGCTCTCCATTACTTGACCTTTTCTTCACAAGCCAGAAAGCTTTGCGGGACTTTCCCCGCTGCCTCCCCTCTCCTTGCCTTAATGATGACTCGCTGATCTGACTGGTCCTCCAGGATGCTATCGGTAGGGTACGACTCAATTTGCTGTCGGATTGCAGATGCAATCGCAGGAACAAAAGTGAGGGGATTCAAATCCAAGTCATCACAGAGAATCTCTGAAAACATTTCTGGAGTCATCAGTTTTTCTGATGGAAACGAAAAACTTGTGTTATTAGGAAAATGCCACAGCAACATTTGCTATAAATACTCTAAAGCAGGAGTGAAACGCTCTGATGTCTGCTAACAGTTCGCTTTGTGGGATACACACAAGCACTAAGAAGCCTTTTCCGAGTCTGCAAAATAGAACAGGGGGGGGGGGACAGCTCTGCCGCACGATTTACATTCACAGGATTTCCTGCTTTCTAGCAAATATAAATCGTGTGGCATAGCTGATTGTTGCACAGCTGATCATCGGAACTTTTAAAAAACTTTTTTAAAACTTTTTTTTTTCTTCTGGTTTAGGCGAATAGGTAGCTAAAAATGCTTTAAAAAGTTTTTTTTTTAAAAAGATTCCGACAATCGGACAGCACAGTTGGTTGTCGGAACTTTTTAAAAAACTTTTTAGTATTTTTTTACTTCTGTGGCGAATAGGTAGTAAAAATTATTTTAAAAAGCTTTTTAAAAAGATTCTGACGATCAGCTATGACAATCAGCTATGCCATGCAATCCTCAGAACTTTTTTTTTACTTTTTAAAAGCATTTTGTTGTTTAAAAAAAAGCTTTAGAAAGGTTTTTAAAGGCTGTGATGATCAGCACAGCTGGTTGTCACAGCTGATTGTCAGAACCATTTATTTTACTTTTTAAAGGATTTTTTTTACTACCAGTTCGGGCGAATAGGTACTAAAAATGCTTTAACAAGTTTTTTAAAAAGGTTCCGACTAAAGCACTTTTTTCAGGCTATAAGAAAAACTGTTGCAATCGGTTCTCTTTAATCGGTTAACGGAATGACTTAAAATACAGTATACACAATATATTCACAGGAAAAAGGGGACTTTCAAAACACAGTTCTATGAAGCTTTCGTTTCTGACTAACAAAATCAAGACTGTAAACAGGAGTGTAAAAAAGCACCATCTAAGTATTGTGAGTTCAAGCACCTGCTGCAGTTGCCTTATTGAGGACCCTAAATCTCTTTGTACTGCTTTGGATATGGCCAATTTATGTTAATGGTTTAACTCCAAAGCTTTTTCTGAGCATGCTGATTGGTGCATAGTTAATAAGAAAATATTTTCTGGTTTACCAATTTACCTGAAAAGGTCAAAACCCTTTATAAAACTGCTGCATTTTCTGTTCACAGTTAAAAAAAACACCACCTGTGTACACCTTCCAATCTGAAGTTAAGAGTAAGCAAGATATATTTTTAGGGAAAAGCCATATTTGTTCATAAATGTTTCCAATGCCTGGAATCAGGATGGTTAGATCATTTGCATATCTTTCTTTACAAACCATTCATATTCCACGTAAAAGCGTCTCTCAGTTTCTGCCCATCGATTTCCATGTCCAGCCGGATTGGGACCAGCACCTCTGGTTGTGACGCATTTTCGTGGATCACTGCTGGGTCATGGTCATCAAAGCTGGGGAAAAATGGTAGCACCGTCATTGTATTAGACACAGGAGAAACCAGGGGCAAGGGACGGCAGATTCAAGGAGCAGGAATTAGGTGAGCTCCAGGGAAGATTCTACCCTTGCAGGAGAAGGAACTGCAAGGCATGCTCATCCTTTCAAAGGGAGAGCAGTTACTTCTCTGGCATATTCTTTCTGTTAATTTTCTTAGTTTATTTAAGATTACAACTACTGTATGTTTGGTAAAACACCATTAGTGCAATTAATCACATACAATTAAGAGTATTTTTCATCAGATATATTAGAGCCCTCCTATTATGATGCCATAAGGAGCTAGCCATAAATGTCCACTCTCTCATTTTTTATTAGACTTTAGAACCATAAGTTATTATTATAAACTGATAACATTTTGTGCCTTACTGACAAGTATTGACGGATTTTTAAATCAACATTTATAGATGGAAATACTCTTTAGTAGTAGGTTATTCTCTTAATTAGAAGGAGTAATATTCTTCTTCTTTTTTTTTAAAGAATTTTTTAAATTTTGGTTAAACAAACACAACACAGAAAAAAATCATCTTTCATTACATATTGTAGTTATAGTTGTTATAGTTATTATTTATTAACAGAAATTCATTCGCTAATTATATCAAATTTCCTCTCATCAAACCAACACATGTATGTACCTTATTATCCTTATCAATTATTTATTTAACATAGCACTCTAGAGATTACTAAATTACTAATCACTAATTACTAAAATTAACTATTTTTTATTAACAACTTTCATATAGCAGCCTGTATCCTTCCAGTAATAATACAGTCTTATTTCTTTTGTCATTTGTGGAATTGATCTATGTATTGCCTTAATAAAATTTTTGTGGACTTCTCTCCGCAGCTTGTTGCTTGTAGCATGACTTAAATAATCTTGATGCCCTCCATCTGCCATTTTAATTAGCTTAGCTTTGATTGTCAATCGTCCTTCTGAGAAATTTTCTTTCCTTAAATCCATTGTTTTTCCTCTTTTCTTCTTCTTCCATGCCTTGAAATCTGGGGTAGAGTTCTTGTCGATCTAATTCCATGTTCCATACTCCCCTTTTCCCACTTTCAACCACATTCATTCCACTGGTAAAGTAATCAGTTGTCTTGTCTTTATAATCATTTTCCCCTTCAATTTTTGGGACTCTGACCCCGTCATTTTTTGCTGTTATAAACTCTATTTTTTCCATCATCTTCTTAATTTGCTCTGTTATTTGTAATAAATTTTGAATTCTGGCCAAGATGTATTGCAAATTTATTGTTTCTTTTGAATATTGTGCCATTTTGCAAGCTGGTAGATACTGCCACTCTGGCTTTCAAGGCTTCTTATATTAAATTAGCTTAAACGCAAGTTCATTTATGATCTTCAAAAAAGAAGGTTCTGTTTCTTTTTCTCTCCCACTGCCAGTAAGACTCTCAAAGTGCACCTGTAAAAACAATTTGTGCCCTTGCTTCTTATCACTTTATATAAACAAGTTGCCAAGCCTCAAGATACAAGGTCAGTGAGATCAAAAGGAAAAGGGAAAGTGCACTGTTTCAAAAACTCAAGCCTCAAGCCTCCAAGTGGCAGTATTGCTTCCCACTCTCTAACGTTATTTCAAAAGAAACAGAGTTCTTAAATGGAATTAATGGAATTAATAGCAAGTAATAAAAGTCCTTGTTGAAATAAAGAAGAAGACTTTAATCCATAGATTAAAAAATAAAAATAAAAATAAAAAATAGAAGAAAAACTGATCCGTTCTCTTTAAAAAGGAAAAAAAAAGTTGCGAGCACTTCAATCCACAAAGTAAAATTACAAAGAAAAAGAAACACACTATCCAAAGCAATCCAATATAGGTTAATTTTGCCGCTTATTTTCTTCTGCTTTCGGATTTAATTTAACTTTTTAAAAAAAATTTGGACAGTCTTTTCCAAAACAATAAAGTTTCCTCACCAGATGGACACACTTTCTCCTTCCGCTTCCCTTCCGTTCTGGAGCCGTCCCAACTTCATCAGCCTGGGACTGGACTTTTTGTTGCCGGCTTGAAGAACTTCTCTTGGATCGATCAGGGACTTTGTGGTGTCCCTGAGATCAGCAAGACATATTCTTCCTGTTCACCATCTCTACGGGACGGTTTAGGTCCGATTGGACCATTCAGCGGCAAAAGTATCGACAGAGGTCTCGAAGCATCAAGACTGCACGTCTGTATTGTCGAGACGTTGGCTCCTCCTTCCAAATAATATTCTTCTTGTTAGTTCTAAAGTTGCTGTAGATACACATGGGCATAACATTTTGCTTCATCCCATTTAAATATATTGTAGTTTCAGCCCAGGTCCTGGGGTGGGGGTGATTTGGGGATACTTTCAGTATGTAACTTTCGCACCTTTTGCTTCAGATCTTGCTTTTCTTTTGTTGCTATAATTTCAAACTCAATAAAAAGTACCTCTTCTCTGCAAACATGGAGTTGAGGCTTTTTTTCCGGTTATTGAACAGAGGCATGCCTGACACATGTAATCATATATGAAATCTAACTTTTATATGTTATTATGAGTTTAAAAGCTAAAGATTTTTGCATTTGAAAAAGCTTAGTCTCTAGTTGATGCAAAAACTTTGCACATCAACAAATCTAGTCTCTCTCCAAAATGAAAGTATTTGGTATTGTTTGTATACCAACATCTCATTTTTTTCTACATAACTACACTTCTTTTTCATGTAAATACCCATTTGTGGGACACTGACATGAGCATTCATGCTTCTGCAGTCCAGTACTTCACTCCCAACCAATTTGCCCCAAATTGTTATGCTCACCAAAGTGGGAACGTTCTCTTCTTGTCTCTGCCCAGGCGGTTTCTGTTAATGGTGGTTGAGCAGGGCACAGCATCCAGATGATGGGAGCTATTGGGAAGAGTTGGAACCCACTGGCTGTTTCTTTTGGCCTTCTGTTCCCTTGAAGAAAAAAACGCTCATGAAGAGGAAAAAGTGCACATTGTTTAAAATATTCTTTCCCAAGTGAGAGTTCACATGCAACACTTACATCTGCCATGTTTTATGTGGATTTTGTGATATATATCCAGCAAAGCAAGTTTCACGAGGAAAACAGTTGCACCACCAGCCCCAGAAGATGCAAATGGCCCTCCTTTGCATGTAGCAAGAGGGAAATAAATCAGCTGGTTACCTAAGGTAGGTGGGAGGTTCAGTGCTGATGGAGACGGCTTTGTACTTCTCATCATTTCCATCCAGGATTTCTTCAACTTCAGAAGCTTTTAAGAGAGTCACGCTGGTGGCCAGGGTGGTATACCCATGATCTGGAGCAGGAAAGGGAGACCCAGAAACTGTGGGTTGTGGAACCTGAGAAGCACCAACCTCTCAGACAACTAAAACAATAAAAATAAAGGCTGGCACCCAGGCTGGACTGGCCAGGAAAGCAATGCTAGCCAAAAGTAGGCTCTGGTCAAGTTCTAACCAACCCCCTTCACAAAAGGGAGACAAAAACACGCTCCACAGATGCTCCTGCAAATCACTGTTTGAGCATGGGTGTTATTTATTAGACGGTTGTGTAACTTGCCTATTTCCATGAAATCAATAACAAATTCATTAAACAATTCCATTTAACCAGGAGCAATTAACTGACAGCCAACAAACTGTCTGCACCCCAATGCTCCCGAGAACAGCTAAGTCTTTAACGTAAGATTTTCTAAAAAGGAGGAGATTGAGAGCACCTCAGAAGCCAAGATGAGCTTCCCCAGCATGGATGTAGTAGTTACAGATGGTCCAAATGTAGCAGTGTGAGTAGCCTGAGTAGTGTGAGTAGCTTGGTGTGCCCATGTAACACTTCTACTTTTTGTGCTGTACTGACTTTCTGGGTACCATCATCAGTCCAAAGATGCTGATTATCACTTACAAAGCCCTACATGATGTAGGGCAAGGGTTATCGGTTTCAGCCTGTCCCATACTCTCTAACAGAATGGGAATGCTCCAGGTCTCTTTCCTAAAAATACGTCATCTGATGGGACCTGGGAAACATGGGGAGCAAAGGAGAAAATAAGGGAACTGAAGAAGATAAATAACCTTTTGCCTATCATAATTGCATGCCTGATGCTAATTAAAAAAATCTTTAGTTCCTTGAGAAAGGAACTGACAAGCTTGAGACCAGAACAAAATGTGAAAGCTTGTTGCAAGGATCAGCGCAGACATTATGACTCAAGTGTGGTAAAGATGGCTTAATGTGAGAACTAGGAAAATATAGAGATGTAGCAGGGTTAAAGATTAATAGAGAAAAGACTAAAATAACTAAAAATTGAAGGAAGAACAAAATAAAGAATTAGAAAGAATAATAGGACTGCAAGTGACAAAGAAAGTTAAAT